CTGGAAACATGGAAAATCACAAACCGATTCCCAACTTTAATATGTGTGTGTGGTTTCCTTTTTTTTTAATTGTATATATAAAAAAAATTCTCTCTCTTTGCATCACTCTCTCACCCCTCTCTCTCTCCTCTCTCTCCTCCTCTCTCTCTCTCCTTCTCTCTCTCTATTCAGTCTGTCCTGTGCAATAATGTTTCACCCTCTCAAGTCAGAGTAATAATGCTCTCTCTCTCTCTCTCTCTCTCCCTCTCTCTTTCTTTCTCTCTCTCTCTCTCTCTCTCTCTGTGGGTGTGATAATGTTTCACCCTCTCAAGACAGGGGGGGGGGAATAATGTTTCTGTGTCTCTCTCTCTTTCTCTGCCACTCACTCACACACTCACACTCACTCACACTCTCTCTCTTCCTCTCTCCCTCCCTCCCTCCTCTCTCTCTCTCTCTCTCGATTAAAACAAATCACACGAGTTGCAGACAGAGAGAGAGAGAGAGAGAGAAAAAAACACTGCACAAATCGAATAGACCAAATCACTGAAGCTGGTGGATTCATTATGCAACAGGAGGTACTTAAAATGAATGAATCCTGTATGGATTTCCCCCCCCCCCCCACCCCCTCAATACACCAAGGCTTCATATCTCTCCACACCAACACACACACACACACACAAGTCTCTCATATATATATATATATATTGTCAAAAGAGGTGATACACATATCTATTGAGCAGCAAACAAAAAAGATGCATCAGCATTGCAATGTGAATACAGAACACAACTTCTATCCCCCCCCCCTCCTCCTCTCTTTCTCCCCTCTCTCCCCCCCCCAAAAAAAACACACACACACACACAGAGGGAAAGGAATTAGGCCTTAATGATAATTCTCTCCATTGGATAATTCAGGTCTCTCTTTCTCACCACCAATGCAACTTTTAAATGCCAAATGTATAAAAAAAAACTTCACAGGTTTCGGTCACTCTGACACGACACACTCAATGCTCTCACTCTCGCTCACACACACAAGATCCATTCGACAAGAAACTCAAGATTTTCCACCCCTTCTTCCCCCCACCCCCCAAAAAAAAACTTTACTTGCGACGTGGTAGAAATCTCAGGTATTTTCTTGGGAGGAAGAGAAACCACAAGAGAAAGCAGGTGGGAAGGAGGAGAGGAAAGGGGGGGGGGGGGGTGAGGGAAAGGGAATAAAATTAACTTGAATTATTCTATTTGTGACTGTCCAAACATTGTATTGTATTGTGCGTGTGTTTAAAAGGAAAATATATATAGAAATTCCCCAAACATGTGTGTGTGTGTGTGGTATCAGTAGATAAAATGCTCTTAACTCCACAATTCTATTTCAGTTTTGATTTCTTTCTGTCTCTCTCTCTCTATATATATAAACACACATATATATATATATCTCAAGGTATAAAACAAGAGCCGGGCAGTGAGTGTGGGTTCTCTCTCTCGGTGTCTCTGTCTCAAGGTATCAAACAAAACGAGTATCAAAAAAGTTTCTCTTTAAGAGGGAGAGTGTATCAAACACTTCCACAAGATCACACGGTCTGAGAGGAGAAACATTGTTACTCTCTGTCTTGAGAGGGGAAACATTGTTACTCTGTCTGTTTGTCCTTCAAGGCCGGTCTCAAAACCTTTCTCTTTGACCGAGCCTTCAGCTCCCTCTCGACTCTCTTCCCCCTCCTCGCTCCCTCCCTTCCTCCCTCACCCTGACATTTCCCCCCTCCTCGCTCCCCCTTCCCTCCCCTCACCATTTCCCCCCTGCTCGGGTCATGACCCAACTGTGCAGCGCCTTGGGACGTCCTCCTGACGTGAAAGGCGCTTTATAAATGGAATCTTGTTGTTGTTGTGGTGGTGGTGGTGGTGGTGGTTGTTGTGGTGGTGGTGGTTGTTGTTGTTGTGGTGGTGGTTGTGGTGGTGGTGGTGGTTGTTGTGGTTGTTTGTGGTTGTTGTTGTGGTGGTGGTTGTTGTTGTGGTTGTTTGTGGTTGTTGTTGTGGTGGTTGTTGTGGTGGTTGTTGTTGTTGTGGTGGTGGTTGTTGTTGTGGTGGTTGTTGTTGTTGTGGTGGTGGTTGTTGTTGTGGTGGTTGTTGTGGTGGTTGTTGTTGTTGTGGTGGTGGTGGTGGTTGTTGTGGTGGTGGTTGTTGTTGTGGTGGTTGTTGTGGTGGTGGTTGTTGTTGTGGTGGTTGTTGTTGTGGTGGTTGTTGTGGTGGTGGTTGTTGTTGTGGTGGTGGTTGTTGTTGTGGTGGTTGTTGTTGTGGTGGTTGTTGTGGTGGTGGTTGTTGTTGTTGTGGTGGTTGTTGTGGTGGTTGTTGTTGTGGTGGTGGTTGTTGTTGTGGTGGTGGTTGTTGTTGTTGTGGTTGTTGTTGTTGTTGTGGTGGTTGTTGTGGTTGTTGTTGTGGTGGTGGTTGTTGTGGTGTTTGTTGTTGTTGTGGTGGTGGTTGTTGTTGTGGTGGTTGTTGTGGTGGTTGTTGTGGTTGTTGTTGTGGTGGTGGTTGTTGTGGTGGTTGTTGTGGTTGTTGTTGTGGTGGTGGTTGTTGTGGTGGTTGTTGTTGTTGTGGTGGTGGTTGTTGTTGTGGTGGTTGTTGTGGTGGTTGTTGTGGTTGTTGTTGTGGTGGTGGTTGTTGTGGTGGTTGTTGTTGTTGTGGTGGTGGTTGTTGTTGTGGTGGTTGTTGTTGTTGTGGTGGTGGTTGTTGTGGTGGTTGTTGTGGTGGTTGTTGTGGTTGTTGTGTGGTGGTTGTGTGGTGGTTGTTGTTGTTGTGGTGGTGGTTGTTGTTGTGGTGGTTGTTGTGGTGGTTGTTGTGGTTGTTGTTGTGGTGGTGGTTGTTGTGGTGGTTGTTGTGGTTGTTGTTGTGGTGGTGGTTGTTGTGGTGGTTGTTGTTGTTGTGGTGTGGTTGTTGTGTGGTGGTTGTTGTGGTGGTTGTTGTGGTTGTTGTTGTGGTGGTGGTTGTTGTGGTGGTTGTTGTTGTTGTGGTGGTGGTTGTTGTTGTGGTGGTGGTTGTTGTTGTTGTGGTTGTTGTTGTGGTGGTTGTTATTGTTGTTGTTGTTGTGGTGGTGGTTGTTGTTGTGGTGGTTGTTGTTGTGGTGGTTGTTGTGGTGGTGGTTGTTGTTGTGGTGGTGGTTGTTGTTGTGGTGGTTGTTGTGGTGGTTGTTGTGGTTGTTGTTGTGGTGGTGGTTGTTGTTGTGGTGGTTGTTGTGGTTGTTGTTGTGGTGGTGGTTGTTGTGGTGGTTGTTGTTGTTGTGGTGGTGGTTGTTGTTGTGGTGGTTGTTGTGGTGGTTGTTGTGGTTGTTGTTGTGGTGGTGGTTGTTGTGGTGGTTGTTGTTGTTGTGGTTGTTGTTGTGGTGGTTGTTGTGGTGGTTGTTGTTGTTGTGGTTGTTGTTGTGGTGGTTGTTGTTGTGGTGGTTGTTGTGGTGGTGGTTGTTGTTGTGGTGGTTGTTGTTGTGGTGGTTGTTGTGGTGGTGGTTGTTGTTGTGGTGGTGGTTGTTGTTGTGGTGGTTGTTGTTGTGGTGGTTGTTGTGGTGGTGGTTGTTGTTGTTGTGGTGGTCGTTGTGGTGGTTGTTGTTGTGGTGGTGGTTGTTGTTGTGGTGGTGGTTGTTGTTGTTGTGGTTGTTGTTGTTGTTGTGGTGGTTGTTGTGGTGGTTGTTGTGGTTGTTGTTGTGGTGGTGGTTGTTGTGGTGGTTGTTGTGGTTGTTGTTGTGGTGGTGGTTGTTGTGGTGGTTGTTGTGGTGGTTGTTGTGGTTGTTGTTGTGGTGGTGGTTGTTGTGGTGGTTGTTGTGGTTGTTGTTGTGGTGGTGGTTGTTGTGGTGGTTGTTGTGGTTGTTGTTCTGGTGGTGGTTGTTGTGGTGGTTGTTGTTGTTGTGGTGGTGGTTGTTGTTGTGGTGGTTGTTGTGGTGGTTGTTGTGGTTGTTGTTGTTGTGGTGGTTGTTGTGGTTGTTGTGGTTGTTGTTGTGGTGGTGGTTGTTGTGGTGGTTGTTGTTGTTGTGGTGGTTGTTGTTGTGGTGGTTGTTGTGGTGGTTGTTGTTGTTGTGGTTGTTGTTGTGGTGGTTGTTATTGTTGTTGTTGTTGTGGTGGTGGTTGTTGTTGTGGTGGTGGTTTGTTGTTGTTGTGGTTGTTGTTGTTGTGTGTGGTTGTTGTGGTGGTTGTTGTGGTTGTTGTTGTGGTGGTGGTTGTTGTTGTGTGGTTGTTGTGGTTGTGGTTGTTGTTCTGGTGGTTGTTGTGGTGGTTGTTGTTGTTGTTGTGGTGGTGGTTGTTGTGGTGGTTGTTGTGGTGGTTGTTGTTGTGGTGGTTGTTGTGGTGGTTGTTGTTGTTGTGGTTGTGGTTGTTGTTGTTGTGGTTGTTGTGGTGGTTGTTGTGGTTGTTGTTGTTGTGGTTGTTGTGGTGGTTGTTGTTGTTGTGGTGGTGGTTGTTGTTGTGGTGGTTGTTGTGGTGGTGTTGTTGTTGTGGTTGTTGTTGTGGAGGTTGTTATTGTTGTTGTGTGTTGTGGTGGTGGTTGTTGTTGTTGTTATTGTTGTTGTTGTTGTTGTGGTGGTGGTGGTGGTTGTTGTTGTGGTTGTTGTTGTGGTGGTTGTTGTTGTGGTGGTGATTGTTGTTGTTGTTGTGGTGGTTGTTGTTGTTGTGGTTGTTGTGGTGGTTGTTGTGGTGGTGGTTGTTGTGGTGGTTGTTGTTGTGGTGGTGGTGGTTGTTGTTGTTGTTGTGGTGGTGGTTGTTGTTGTTGTTGTTGTGGTGGTGGTGTTGTGGTTGTTGTTGTTGTGGTGGTGGTTGTTGTTGTTGTGGTGGTGGTGGTTGTTGTGGTGGCGGTGGTGGTTGTTGTTGTTGTTGTGGTGGTGGTTGTTGTTGTGGTGGTGGTTGTTGTTGTGGTGGTGGTAGTTGTTGTTGTGGTGGTGGTTGTTGTTGTGGTGGTGGTTGTTGTTGTTGTTGTGGTGGTGGTTGTTGTTGTTGTTGTGGTGGTGGTTGTTGTTGTTGTTGTGGTGGTGGTTGTTGTTGTGGTGGTGGTGG